CAGAAGTGTTGGGATCTGTAATTTTCTCTCAAATGGTGAACTTGCTGGAATTCCCCTCCCAGTATTTCCCTCCTGCCTAGAGGACTCAAGGTTTTGTTTTGTCCCACCTGCTTGGACCCACACACAGCACACCGGACTCCTTTTCAGTACTGATCAAAACAACATTACGATCATTCTTTCTTCTGTTTTGATTGTGTTTTACCACACACGGTGGACTCACCTAACACACCCCCTCCTCCACCCACACAGCCCATCCCAACCAAGTCAAGGTTTCAAGACAGTCTCTGCCTTATTCAACTCCTTCCCTGGGGAAGAAATGCAGCCTGTCTGCCTTTCCATGCCAGCCTCCTTTTTCTCCTGGGTCTTCCACTCCAGAGACTCTCACCCTAGACAAAAGCGGCCGGGCAGTGATGGGGGTAAGGGGGGAATTCATCGAAGGGCCCGACACAAAGACCCCTTCTGCAAGGAACTGTGCCTCCCGTACCAAGCTTTTGCAGAGCTTGGGGTAAACGCGATTTGATTTGATGACCTTGACCCCATGAACCTAGAGGGAGGGTTCAAGCCCTTTTACAGGACTCACATTTTGTTTCTAATTGGAATTGAGAACCGGCTTCTTTGTTTCTAATTGGAAGTGAGAACCGGCTTCAACCGTGAACATCCAGTTCTCTGACTCCTCCTGGCCCAGAGAGACAGCTCCCCTCTGGGAGGAAGGTCAGAGAAGACAAAGACCTAGTTACCAAAATCCTGTCTCCCTCGGGGCACACCTACCCTTACCTAGTGACACCTTTGTTTGTGTTATAAAGTTTGTTTGTATTATAAAGAAGTTGGTTTTTGTAGGAGCAGAGTGAGCAGCTGTGGGTAGAGTCCCATAGCCCAGTGATGGGAGGATGCTGGGCTACACGGCCAGCCCCCTGCCTCCCAAAAAAGAATAGTGGTTATTTAAAAAAAAAAAAAAAAATGAGTGTTGCCAAAACATGTAACTGGGATTTGCTAAGAGTTTGCATTGCGTGGTGAAATCAGGAAAGAAGAGGTAACCTTAGATCCCTTGAATTTTGAGTTGAGAAATGGGGAGGGAAAGAAGAGCTACCACACAGACTGGCTTCTTGTCCTTCAATATGTCAGTGATGGAACCCGGTATTCAGGTTTGGTTTGTTTGTTTGTTTGGTTTGGTTTGATTTCTGGCTTTTTTTTTTTTTTTTTTTCTGGCTTGAAGGAAAGGCTAGGAGAGAAGTTTTGCCCTTTTCCAAGAGACGGGTTTCTCTGTGTAGTCTTGGAGCCTGTCCTGGATCTCACTCTGTAGCCCAGGCTGGCTCTGCTGGAATCAAAGGCATGCACCACCACAGCCTGACCTGATTTCTTTTTTTCAGACAGTATCTTACCATGAAGACCACCTAGCTGGCTTTGAACTTACACGGAGATCCCCTGCCTCTCCCCTGTGTGTGATGGGCAGAACTCTCAGCAGGAAAAAGCGTTTTCTGTGTAAGCCCAAGGCTTGAACCCACAGTGGAAGGAGAGAACCAACTTCCAAACCACTCCCTCTGGCACTTCACACCTGCATATTCTCTCTCTCTCTCCCTCTCTCTCTCTCTCTTTCCCCCCCTCCCTCTTTATTTG